ATAAGTACAAAACCCAAGATGAAGTGTGGAGATTAATTTCAATACATGAAGACAATATGAGATCTGAGCGTATGCATGTGATTTTATTTTCATGGATAAAAATGTTTCAAGAAGAGAATTAAAGGCTCATGGGGGGAAAAAAACTACAAAGGATAATTGTTGGTGTGAGGCAAATTACTGATCTCTGATAATCTGCAAATATCCATTTAAATTCTATCCGACCCTCGTACAGTACACACACACACACACATCCAGGACACGTATGCACACATGCAAAAATAGTGGGTTAATAAAATATCTACATGAATATCCACATCAATTAATCATCATCCAAAACATGCAACAGCAATAGCATGTGTGGATTCAAAGCACCGTACTCACCTATTTAACCCTTAACATTAAAAAACACTGAATTTAATCGATTTTGTAGGCTGTAGAAATTGTAAGAATCGTGGCTATTAAATCAACTAATAGACAAAGATGTTGCTTGAGTCTTTAATCCGCGTTAGTGAAATCCCATTAAGATTCAATAGTTGAAAAAACAATATTGAAATCAGCTTCAGTCCATTACAAAAAGGAAGTTTAAAAAAAAAAGAGTCCCAAATTTAACAGTTTTTAATAATTGTTAATTATTTTTTTCATTTGGAATCAAATCCAGGATTTAAAGGGTAATTCCACAGGAAAACAGCTAAATCCAGAGTGCCTTTATCATGGTGACGGTTGCTCAAAAGTCCCACTTCCCATTATCTTCATGTAATGAAGAGGAGAGCCATTAAATCTCCTTCAGGAAAAAAGTGGAAATATAAAAAAGGAGATGGAAATGAGTTGTGTGGTTTGCTTCACTTTGCTATGCATCTGTCTATTGCTGTGCCTCTCTGTAGCTCCCACACCACACACAGTCCCACACACACCAAATTATTAAGTTATTTTGCAGTCAGCTTAATTCTTTCTAGCCCCCCTATCTTCTATTTTTCTAAAAGTATTTTGAATAATGTGGCCCTTGTATTTCAATAAATGGAAGGAGTCGAGTTGATGAATTGCAAAATTTAGGTCACCAAAATGCAAAATAAATAGCAACTCCTCTGTGAAGCAGGCATGACATGTGAGTGGTAGGACATGAAATTTTGCAAATGAAAAAAACAAAATGGAACAACAAATAAATCAATAGGTAGATCAATTCAGAGGGGGCGAGAGGGTGGAAGTGATGGAGAGAGAAAAAAAAGATGCGGAAAGAGGTGATTAAAGAGAATAAAGCTTGAAGCAAAGTGAGTGAAAAAAAAGTGAAAATTATGGTGGAGGAAAAAAAGGGAAAAAATCCTCTGGATGATAAAGCCAGTTTTTTTCTCTAGTCCATTCTCTTTGAGTGCTTGTGTGAGTCTGTCTGCGAGAATGAGAGTTCAAAAAGATGGGAGACGGAGAGAGGGGGGGGGAGAGAGAGAGAGAGAGAGAGGAAAAGAGGGCAGAGGAAAAGGAGGCAGAGGAGTGTATAAACACAGATGACACCCCGACAGAACGGACAAGTGCTGGCTTAGAAACACGCTTTGAAGCAACTGTGAACTGTCCCTAAAGAATCAGACCCCTTTGCTCAGTTTGACCTTCACCTGATAAACGTGAAGTGAGGGAACTTAAACGGTTTGCTAATAATGTCCATTTCCCTCTCACGGAACGAAACGTTGAGTTTGGACGTCTCGCAATGTTGCATGACGGCAAACAAAAGGACATGTGAGGAGGACGGTGTGTGATAAAGGGGGTGGGGGGGGGGATTGCAGACGCTTTAATGGAAGAACATACTTTTTGTGCAACAACATAGAAATGACAAGGCAGTCAGAATGTGGGTTCCATGATGACGACTGGAGAAGGTGCTTGCTTGATGAGTCACTGTGCTCTTGGTTGAGGAGAACGAAAAGAAAGTCAGAAAACACAGGTTCTAAGTATGTAAGGGGAGAGTGACGTGAGGATGACATGGCATGAGGCAAGAATCAGCTGAGAGCCGGATGGGAGGGGAGCCATGGTTATACCAAAGCTAGACCGTAGGCCAGTGAGTGTGTGTGTGCGTGCGTGTGTGCGTGTCAAGGTGTGCTTCATATATGTGCACCCCACACAAAACACCTTGCATACACAGAAAAGGAACAAAGACTTGGAGACAGACACTAAACACTAAATAGACCTACCTATGGTTAGAATTAAGAATCGCCCAAAAAAGATGCATAGGATGGTAGGAGGAAAAAAGAGAAGGGGGAAATAGGAAATAGGAAAAGGTACAAAAGTGAAAAAGCCATAAATAGAAAATACAAGCAAGCCAATTAAAATGTCTCTAAAGTAAAGAAATTAAAAACACTGGTGGAGTTAAAAAGTAGCCAAAGTTAGGGGTGGACAGTGAGCAGAGTGGTGGGGGGGAGGAGGAGGAGG